TAAGGCAGACTCCCAACCTCGCAGATGATGGTAATGACACAAAGGAGCCCGATGGCTCATCTAAAATCACCCATCCAATGAGACTGGAAAGAGAGCTTGGCTCCTCTGCCTTCTAAACCCAGCCTGGCTGGGCAGCCCATGCTGAACCATGGACACCAAGCTGGGGAAAGCGGCTTGGGTAGCCTTCCTGAGGACTTCTCTGGCTTAGAAGGACAGTCAGGGCTCCCAGTTCCTACAGCAGCAGTAAAGCTGCTCAGGAGCCTCCCCCTGCAATGGACTTGTATGTTTTCCAGGCATTGATCCAACCCCAGGGTGATTTCCAGAACACGCTCTGCTCCCTAATTACCCGGTAATACCAAGGCCTCATGAAAATGCGGCCATTGTGTGAAAAGGGGAGGGGAGACAAAGAAGAAAGAAAGAAAGAAAGAAAAGAAAAGAAAGAAGAAAAAAGAAAGAAAGAAAGAAAAGAAAGAGAAAGAAAGAAAAGAAAGAAAGAAAGAAAGAAAGAAAGAAAGAAAGAAAGAAAGAAAGAATAAATGCTGCTAAACCTGGCAGCACTCCAGGATGGATTGCATTCTCTGGAGTGTGTTCTACACACACGTGCACACACACACACACACACACAGTCTGCAGAGTGCTTTGGAAACTTTCTGTATGACTTGTGCTAGGAAACATGGAAAACGTTATCATTATTATTTGATAAGACATCTTTGACAATGAGGACTTTCTAAAGCCATGGAGCCTCCCTCATCTGATCATATTTGTGCCAATTTGTGAACTGTCAGCGATCTGTTCTCAGATCATAAATTTGATGGTTTACTCCCCCCTTGAATTGTTTCGCACTAGCAACCTAAAATGTTCAAGCCACGAGAAAGCTCATGTTTTCAAGGTCAAGACATGACCCTGGGAGAAAAAAAAGAACCTCCCAAGGCCACCGACTGCAGGGGACAGCAGGTGGGGGAGAGGGCACCCTCAGCCAGCATCTCTGTCCTTTCCTTCACCTCTGCCCCTGTTTCAGGGGCAGCTCCAGTGGCAGAATCAGAGCACCCTTTGGCCATCGCCCCAGCTAATCTCTTCATTTCATAGAGGAGAAAACAGGTCCAGAAAGGAGATGGACTTGGCCCCCAAACTAGTACTGAAAGGATGCTTTGATTCTTGCCTCCTGGTTTCTACCAGCACTGTGTGGTCTTTGGGTGAGATTAAGTCCAAACACACCCCATTATACACTCCTGCCTTTTTTTTTTTCCTGGCCTTTGCAATACAGGCACATCTAATAGCTTTTTAAAATGCATATTCCTATTTTCTTATGAAAAAATAAGCCTGAAGCTCTGCCTCCTTCAGCCTCTACTTCCTTCTGGCAAGACTGAAGTGTCTCTGAGACCACAGCCACCTTCGAAGGGCATTAACACTGGTGCCCTTTGTGCCCATTGCCTTGCCCTCTCCCTGGATGACTTCATGCATTCTCCTGTTTGGCCCAGGGAGGCATTGGAATTTAAAATCCCTGCCCAACACATTTTTCTTGATTTTCAGTGAAGAACTTAAGCCAAATAAGAAAAGCGAAGTTATTTGGCTATGTGGCCCTAGGACTTGCAGTCTGCCAAAGCACGGACTGGGCTTGGCTGGAGAGGGGGTGTCTTGCTGGCTCTGGGCACAGTTTGAGAAGCATTTGTGACACTGCTCAACACTGGCTTGTTACTGTCTGCAGCCCTTCCATCAGGTGCTCATGCATCTGGACTTTAAGAACTACCCATCATTAGGTATCCTATTTTACAGAGTGCCAAGCCTTAAAACAAAACAAACTGATTCTTTCTTCCATGTCATAGAGGAATGGAAAATTGGAACAGGAGTCCTAAAGTGCCTGTTGCCAGGCACCTTGATAAAGACTTTTTAGCTTCAGCAGGGTTTAAAGTTTGAACTAGAGAATTCCTCGCTATGAAAGCCAGTGTGCTAAACCTGTGCTTTCCAGAAGGTTTAGCAGCATCCCTGGCCTCTGTGCATGAGATGCCACCACACTTCTCCAGAGTGAGAAACATAAAGGTCTCCAGACTGTGCTGAGTATCCCCCAGGGGAGAAATCAAGAACCACTGCCAATGAGAAGCACTATCTTCAGGGAATCGTTCAGCTGGCCAGCCTGAGCCTGGCCATATCTGTGAAGGAAGACCCAGTTCCTGTCCCCGTAGGGTTGGACAGAGCAAGAGACAAGACGGTGAATGTCCAAATGCTGGGTAAATCAGTGTGTCATATCTCAGCAGGGTTTGTCCATCATCAATTGCACAACAGTATAAAAAGTGACCTGTTCCAAGGTTGGTGCTGACACAGCCAATAGGATTGTCGGCTGTAGGGCAGGCACAGGAATAGGTTGTCCCAGGCAATGAATCTGGATGGGATGTAGTTTTAACCTTGAAGGCTGAACAACTGCCTTGGACTAGAGGTCTGTGCTTTCTTTCTCCTACTCTGGTCACTATGGCATTAAAAATGTCCTCCTGGCTCTCACTGTCCAACAGGAATGCATGGTTTGCAATCCTGGCCCTATGCTCTCCAAGGTTTCACATTGTACCCTCCCTCCAGGTGCACAGAACACATGGTGTCCTCTCTTGCCCACAATCCCCGCTTATCTCTTTCTTTTATTTGCTTGTCTTCTGTCTGTGACTTTCTCATCCTTCATGGTCCAGCTCTTTGAAGCTGTGCTGAATTTCCACAGACAACAGACAGTTGCCGCCTTCTCTCCTCCTCAGTGCTGAGTTTATGTCTCTCTTCAAGCACTTGCCCTGGTCTGCCGTAGATGCTGTGGTTGGGCTCCTCAGCCCCCTCTTCTAACAGGCTGTGTGGGATTTCCTCTTATTCCCCCAGCCCTGATCTCCTGACTGATGCAGTGGCTTCCCCACAATCGTTTGAAATGAAGACAATTTTTGAAGAGAAATGAATGGTTGAACTGAAATGTAATTTGACCTATACACCCAGGCTTGAAATGTGTAAATTCCATGTTTATTTAATCTTTGAACAATTTTGTACTTAATAGGCCAAAGAGCACTATTGATCATACTTAAGCAGTGCAACGATGTAGAACTATATTTAGAAGATCTGATGGAATGATTTATAATGATCACAGAAAACGCATCTTTTTGCCTTCTCAAGCCCCTGCCTCTCCTATGAAGCAAAACAATTCTTTCCCGTTTCAGGTGGGTGTTGAGGCTTTGCTAATTAATCCTTGTAAAGGGCCTTGAGATCTTCCTCTGAAAGGTGACAGCAAAGTGTGAAGCCTTTAGTGACAGCCTAATTATTATTATTACCAGGCAAAAAGCTCAGAGAATTTAAAAGATCCCTAGGTACCATTCAAAATAGTAAAAGGGAAAAAATGCAAGCAGAGAAAGTATAAGATGGAATCACTGAATCCCAGACTTCTAAAATTGGCAAGTGATCTTTTGAAGTGATCTTTCCACACTCTGTTCACCTAGTGTTCCAAACTTATTCTTACATTTCTAGATTTCCCCTGTCCAGTACCTACTGCTCTTCAAACCAAAGGGTTAACAGTTTGAGCCTTAGGGTAGTTTCCTGGGTTTAAATTCCCCAACCTCTTCCTCCTCAGCAGCAGAAACCTGGATAAATCATTCATTCCTTTATCAATAAAATCCAGTTCCTTCATCAATAAAATGGGAATGAAATTACCTACCACAGGGATTGTTGGAAAAATGAACAATGCGTGTTGAATGCTTAGCATGGGCTCTGGCACAGAATAAACAGTGAGTAAACAGTAGCTTTACAAATCACTCTAATTAGTGTGGAAATTAACATAGGAAATCATATAGCCCTGACCTCCATGTTGCTCCTGTTCTAAGGGCTATATTGAACACTGGTTTATATTTCCTGCAAATCCCAGCCCTTACAGCTGTCCATGAGTGTGTGTGATTATTCAGTCTCAGTGAAGCCAGTAAGCAAGCACTGGGTAAAAGGGTCTGTTTTAGTGGCAAAGAAATAATCAGGTCTAAAGTCTGTCTGCTGTGTTTCTAGCTAAGGAAAAAGGATACTTTTCTTCTTCTAGATTATTCTGTGTTAGGAGGAAGATCTGCCCAGTACTGCAGGCCAACTGGTCAGGGCCAGAACATCGTTGTTTGCAGACTAGACTGGACGTCTTAGTACCACTGGGTCGTCATTTATGATGTGACCTTTACAGCCTCAGATTTTTCACCTGTAAAATAGTCACTTCACAATGGTGAGTATGCGGAGGAAGGGCCAGCGCCACCAAGTCCCTTCATAAACTGTAAAGTGCTCTGCAGCTCTGAGTGACTGCTGCTTCGTAAGTCGCACTTTCTGTCCCTCTACACAGTCATTCTCTCTACAGGTTGCCTCCGTGGATGTCCTGGTCCAGATTGTTCTGCGGAGTTCCCGCTTACTCTAGACCTGACCAGCATCCAGAGATAACCAAGAGAGCCAGATCCCTCTCACTAAAATCCCTGCAAAATGACTCATGTAATTGCTCTGTGTGAGTATCCTTAGTCTTTATTCTACACCCACACAATCCTGATGCCACAGATCCTATGTGAAGCAGGGAAAGGGGGTCCCATTTTAAATGGCTACCATGTGTAAAAGAGACCACTGATGCCATTTCCAAAGACTGAGGGGACTGCCAGATACTGAAGTCCAAACAGATGCCAGTGGTGCTCCAGCCTCCTGTGGTCTGTGGCTCCCACTCCTCCTGTGAGACGGGGATAGCTCCCCTCAGGAACCAGTTGTAGCAATAACTGGGCCAGTGGAGTGCATGAGATTCATCCTGCATAGCCTGTCAGCGCACTCCTAGAAAAAGTGACCTAGATCAAGCAGCTGGTGAATCCAGGACTCTTGTGGGGACCCCCTGCCACCTACTGACTTAGAGCTGAACCCACATTCCAGGGAACATCCGGCAGGCTGGGGACTGGGGGAGAAGGCATAATAGGGTGGGAGAAAGCGACCCGGGGTTGCCCCTTTTGGGGAACAGGCATCGCGCACCACCCCCACCCTCCACTCCCCTCCTCCGCACACAGGGAAAGGAGGGTGGGGTGAGGATGGGGCGCCAGGGTGGTGTGCAGAGGAGGTCGGCCATGGAACTCTGAGCTGGCTCCCTGGGTATCGGCACAGAGCTCCTGCCTGTGTGAGTGTGAGGGGGAGAGGGAGCAAGCGGGGAGGGAGCCAGAGGCAGGCTGCGCGAGGAGAGGAGGAGAGGAGAGCAGAGGAGAGGCAGGCAGGCGGAGAGGGGGAGCGCTCCAGCGCCAGCTAGCATGAGGATGGCTCCTTGTCCCTGCTCAGTTAATCTGGCTGTCAGTTGGCGTTAACGCTGCAGTTTAAGTGCACGGATTCCAAGGGAAACAAACCTCCCAGAAGGAAGGCGGAGAGGAAGGAAAGAAGGAAGCAACAGCAGGAGGAAAAGAAGCGGCAGAGCAGCGAGAGGAAGAAAGGAAGGTGGGGGGGGCGAGACACCAAATCTATGATTGGACCTGGGCTTCTTTCTCGCCAATGCAAAAAGGAATATGCAGCACATTTTTGCCCTCTTCTGCACCGGTTTCCTAGGCGCGGTAGTAGGTGCCAATTTCCCCAACAATATCCAGATCGGTGAGTGAGGGGGGCCGCCTGGGCCGGGGGACTCTCTCAAGCTGGGAGGGAGGCTTCTGAGGGGGCTGTCACCCCCTCCTCAGTGCAGCTGTTGTGCTTGGCTATCTCGAGCTGTGCAGGGGGAGGGAGGAAGACTCGGGCAGTCAGCGAGGGGAGGGGGCTCCGTCTGCCCAATGGGGGGCACAGGAGAAGTGTTCACATGCACACGTACAGGTGCCACTGCCACTAACGCTCCAGGCAGGAGCATGGGAAATGGAGGAGCCAATGCTTCGGAGTGGTGGCAGGGGGCAGGCATCAGGCTGCAGCCTGGAATAGGGTTGGGGGTGCTCAAGGAGTTAACTCGTTGCTTGGTAGATGGTGTCTGACTTCACTTATTTATATAAATATGTACGGTGGGTGGATGGCTGTGTGGTTATGTATGAAATGTGCTCGCAGCCATCTGACCGCTGCAGGCAGTGGTTTCCTGGCTGGGGGAGATAGAAGAGACCCCTACAAAGGAGGGAAGAACGCTGGGTTTATCAGAGCTCTTGAAATAATGGAAAAGGCCCCCGCTCTAAGGAGGGGGGCTGCCTCTCCTGCTCCGGACCCCCACCCATCCTAGCTGCCCCCTCTTTGCCGTCTGCCATGCTGGGCTGGTGGTCCTGGCTCCTCCAGTCCTGGAAACTTCCTAGCCTGCTCTTCTCCGTTCCTTCCTTCACCTCCTCCTCTGAGATGCCCTGACACAGACAGTGCCTCCCTTTTACACGCATACAGACACATGCACACACACTCCTTCCCGCACCGCCAGTGCTCCCCATCCCTGGGCTCCATCCCCTCAACTTGGAGGCAGCAGCGTTCAACATGCTGCATGCCTTTTTGTTTCTCCTCTCCCTCTTGAGGGTGTATGCTTCTAAATGGTCCCCTACCCTCCCTGTGTTCACGAGGGAGCTGACAGCTATCGCTCATCCTCGGAAGCATGGGAGAAAACAAAACAAAGAAGAAGCACACCAGCACCCACAAGGCATGTCCACGGGGCTGTGGCTCCAGTGTGACCAGCATTTCACCACTGTTTATGTCCCAGAATCAAGCAGGCTGCTTTGCTCGGAGGCATCTCCATTGACCTGGCTTGTTTTCTCTCTTCCTGGGGAAAGTTCTCCTTGCTGCGAGTTTGCATGCTCTGTGCAAGTGTATATTTGGTGGAGGGCTGTGGTCCGTTGGTATTTTGTCAGGCACACATGTGCCTTGGCCTCTCCAGCGAGCTGCTTCCAGGGTGGCTGGTGCGGCCATGGAGTAACTTGCTTTGACACCTGTTAGGCTAACATTCTGAAACCCGAGTGTGTGTGTGCCTGTGCTCATGCCTTACACGGGGAAACTTCCTGCCTCCAGGAGATACCTCCATTACAGCCCAGCCTGAAGTCCTTCCTTTCCCCCTCCTGCTGCTTCCCCTCCCCCCTGTTTTCATTCACTGCTGGAGACCAGAAACGGGACTGAGCAGAGCAGTGTTTGGGGTGTGGTCACCCGGGATGGAGGAGGAGGGTGGAGCATCAGATTCTAGAATGATTGTTTTTGTTGTTGTGGTTGGTACTCTTTAAAATCAGCACATATGGACACGTGAACATCCCTTGCTCCTCTGCGGGAACTGTTTATGTTAGTACTCCCATACTGACTATACTTCGCTAACTATAACTGCCTGCCTGGAGATAACATGCACTTGCTTTCCTTAGGGGTATTTGTGCCTTGATGTCACCATGGGTATCAATGAATGGAGAGGTGCATATCTGCTGCCTTTACTCCTGTATGGAGACTGCAGCTGTTTCATTGTATTTGGTCTCAATTTACTTGCTCAATCGATAAAATTATTGTTGCTGTTTTCAAAAAAGAGGCAAAACCTCTCAACTTGTAGAACACATGCTAAAAGTCTCACTGCCCTCAGAGTGTACTTGACTCTACCAACAAGACCTCTAACAAAAGCTTTGTAATCCATTTTCTCATTGTTGTGGTTATGCTTAAAAATGAGTATGTACCCACTGTATCAGAAGTTAGAACTGCTGTACACAGAGACATCAACTCCTCTTAGAACCCAGATCCACTTCTCCATAGTTATATCGTTTTGTCTCTTGAAATAACTTGAACTATTGTTCTGTCTCTTTAATTCATAGAAGTTTATTTTAATTTGCCCACAGTAAATAGCCAGGTACCCCCTGCACACTTACTTCTTGGAGCACAAGCCCTGAGAGGCAGCTTTACTGTGCTTTCTGTGGTAATAGAATATTCGTACCTCTCAGCATTCTTGAGACCCCCACATCCGTGAAACCCAAGATTCTGCCCCGCAAACACACGGAGGCAATCCCTTATGTAACAAGTCATCCCTAGGTCGCTGGGACACCAACCATAAGAGGAGCAAAACACTGAAATGCTACTCACAGAAAATCAAGAATTTTCAGAGGAAATGAATTCTAAACTTTGGAGGTAATGGAATAGTTAAATGGCATACAGATCTCACCGAAGGCCAAAAGTGTCAAATCAAATAGTTATAAAGGCCGAGAAACCCAGTGTCCCAGACCTAGATTTTAGTTACCGTGTAACACTTATAAGCACACATATCCTGTAAGGCTCTGTGAGAGACGGGGCCCATCTGAGACAAGTGACACACCGGGAAGACTTCTGGGCACAGAGAGCATGGAACACCTAGGGGGTTTGTCCAAAGGAAGGGGAAGAGAACCACCTCACCACTGCTTTCTCTCCCCATAGTGGAACTGAAGGTTGCACAATCAGAAGTCCGAGCTGAGTAATAGACGTTAGGGCTGTGTCACGGGAGCTCGTGTGCAGAAGTTAAGCTTAAGCACCCAGGTGCCTCTATTTGAGCTCATTCTGACCACAAAAAGTTATAACTTGTGACTTTGGCATGGGAGAAGCAATGGACTGTCTAAGGTGGGTCACTGAGAACTAAACCCTGCCTCGAGCCCAGATACCATGTTGCATTTTCTTTTCTCACAGGGGGACTATTTCCAAACCAACAGTCACAGGAACATGCCGCTTTTAGATTCGCTTTGTCGCAACTCACAGAGCCCCCAAAGCTGCTCCCCCAGATTGATATTGTGAACATCAGCGACAGCTTTGAGATGACCTATAGATGTAAGTAATTGCTTCTATTTCTGAGATTTCTGTCTCCCGAGACCAGTGAAAAGAGGGTCTGTGGGTAGGTGGTGGCGTTGCAAAAATGACGTGAGCTGTGATTTGTCTTCATAAGAGAAAGCCCTCCAAGAAACATTTCCAGGGCCTTTCGAGTGATTCCAGCAGTTGGTATTTACAGCCTGCTATGCTTCATGGAATGGGTTTGCTTTTTCACTGTCGGCTGACTTTAAATGCCAGGCTGATGGGTACTCGGGTGGACTGTATCTCCCCACTTTGCTGAGATTTTCTGATTCGGCTGAGAGATCTTAACACATAGAAAACTTCAGAGAGATACAGAATTAAAGGCTCTGACTTTAGCAAACGTGTTTAAAACACTTAAGCCATTTCTGTCTAAAAGGTAGAGGGAGAAAAATATCCCCTAGAGACTGATAAGAGAAGGTAGATGAGAAGTTGTGTATCTGTTTTCCTATTTTTGGAAGTAACCAATAACTTATTAAAACATGGTGTCCTGATTATTTCCAAAATGGACTGAAGTAATTGATTCATTAGCACACAGTTTGTAGACATAGAAAAAAATCTGAAAAGTTGACACAGCTTGTATGACAGCCTTTGAGCATAAAGCGGAACAGGGGCAACTTGAGGAAGAACTTGTAGATCGCTGCTATCGGAATTGAATGGATTATAAATTTGTGTGTAACAAACGCTGTTCTGAGGTTTTCTGGCAGCTAAGACAGAAAAGGAAATTCTTGTCCTTGGTTGTTTGATTGCCATTCTATGTCATTTGAAAGCCTAAAAGTTAATCAGTGAGACATTTGCCTTCTATGAATTAAGCTCGAATAGGAATTCATGGCAGGAAAGAGTAGATAGACAGAGTGCACAAGAATATTTTGGGAATCAAAACTGGATTGACTGGCACCACTGGTTTTGAACTGGCACTATTGGCATGGTGACTTAGGCTGAACTGTGGATGGTTGAAGGCATGACCATGTCTTTCATCTGTTCCCTACATTCCCACACGGTGGGAACAATGATCTTAACGAAAAGGCTTTGAAAGCTCCACATGAGAATTCAGAACTCTCCTTACTGTTAGGACAGCTCATAAGATAATGATGACATGAGTGTGATAATTATAATTAGGCCAGATTCCATTTATTCAGGACTCACTGTGCATCAAGAACCACGATAAATATTTTATAGACATTTACAGCAGCATTCATTACCATTTATTAAGCATTGGCCACAGCCCATGTAAGGCATTAATTGCTTTTCTCATGTGTCAGCTCATTGAATCCTGATAGGAGCCTTATGGGAAACTATGTTATCGTCATTTTAGAGTAGAGGACATTGAGGCAGTGACAGGTTATGTAACTTACGAGGTCACCTGGGAAATAAATAGTGGTCTTATGACCTCCAGGTTCATGTTCCTGTGCACCACAATAAATACACTGTTCTTTATAGTAATTTAATCTGATATTGTGAGATTATCCACACAGTGAAAGGGAATGTTCTTGTAAGACAGTTACCTGATACAGGAACTAAGGAGAAAAACTAATAGCTTTTCAAACTGTATTTGTGATTTTTGCACAGGAATGGGTTATTGATAAACAAAACAGCAGTGCCACATTTTGGTAAGTTTGAGAATCTTGCTCACCACTCTTTAAAAAGTGCTAAAGCTCCACTGTTCGATGTAGTTCATGTACCCATCCTCCTGAAAAACTAGAATAATACGGAGTAGGTATTTGACTTATCAGATGACCTCCCAATCCTTTCTATGTGACTCAGGGTAGTATCTGTGAAGAACAATTTAGTTATGGGCTTCAGTGTGGCTTGAATCACCTAAGATGATGGCTACTTTTTGTATGTGCATGAAAGTATTAGTATATTTCCTGGATATTTCCTGGATTATTGTATTTCTGTGTCTTTTGTCATATTCTCATAGAGGTTCATTATCTAAGGTTTACTTGCTTAGAGAATCAAAATGAACAAGTGGCTGGTGTGTGTCTTCACTGAGACCTGTCTATAGCAGAGCCTGATGGAAAGAGATGTTAACTGCTTTCGTGGTGTCAAGATGTTGACTGCCAGGAAAAGATAGTACAAGACAAAAATAGTAGGAAAATCCTAAGACAAAAGGTGATGTTTCTATGGCTTTATCTTCACCACTTAAGACTTGATCTCTAATACAGCCATTAGATACTTACTAGGGGCCCATACTTACGGTACGGGCAGTGTTTTCCATTATGAACGGTAGAGCTCGAATAGATGGGTGTGGATTCCTGAGCCTGATGCCTGTCATGTACTCATGTACAGCTTCCCAGACCTGCCTTGTGCATTTGGGTATTCCATCACTGTTTCTCCAAAGCTGTGAATTGAGATGCACTTTGGAAACACAGGGATGGTAAAATGTTCTGGCTCTCAAATAGCATGCACTCTAGTAGAGACACATGGGGTGAGGATTTTCTAAGAAGCAATCATGATATTCTGTGCTTAGACTTTGTCTTCCCTTTGTTTTTAAAATCAGAGGGAATACTGGGCACTTTGGGCTGACACGGTGGGGGTGTGATTCCAGGCCTGCCTTCAGGTGTCTTTGTTAACTTTCATGTAAAATTAGAGGACCCTCTCCGAGTACATGCACTGTGGCCTGTGGGTGCAGGAAAACCATACATCTCTGATTCAAACTGAGTAAGAGCAGCAAAGGGAAGAGAGTAGGTTTGGGACAAAATGGGTTAATGTATGGAAAACCGAGTGGAATATTTCAAATGCAATGCTGCGTGCTTTTTAAAATACAGATTTTTAAATGCCTCAAAGTAACTTCAGCAGTCAGTCTCTAGAAGATGCCAAGTATTTGTGATTTTTTTTTTTTTTTTAATTTTTGGCGTCATTTGCTTTTTCCCCCAGTGTATTTTGCTATTCATTATCCTTCCACCAGAGGGTGGAGGAGGGAAGAGAGACGAAGTATAAACAGAATTGTTTCTACTACATGTTTAGCAACCCAATATTTAGACTGAAGGGTCCTGGTTACGGGGTAGGGATGCAGGAAAGACGGAGGAAGGACATGACTCTTGACATGGTGACAGTTTGCTGCCTTCCTTGCATTCAATCCTTCTCGCTTTCTTCATCCGTCATCATTAAGGGGTAAAGTAATTGAGCCTACAACCCAACTGCTTTGCAGTCCCCTCTGAATACTTTTCTAAGCCGACAGACTGGGGTAGGTAAGGATGTCCATACAGCGGTTATTTATTGGTCAGATATTGTTCTATTTTGGTGCGTTCATTGTAAGTACAAAGAAAACAATGAATGAAGTGCTGATTGGGATCCAATACAAAGTCTGAGAAGAAATGTGGCAACTTAAACCTTACTTTCATTCATTTGTCCATTCATTCATTCATTCATTCATTCATTCAGCAAGTACATGCTGAATGTCTACACCAAGCACTCTGCCAGATGCTAGGAATGAAACGTCAGTGCCACGAATGTAAGGGCTGAAGCCTTGGAGCTGCTTCCCTTTTCTTGTGAGGCCTAGAATTTAGCTCAGAGGTCTTTAAATTGCACTGTACATAAGATTCACCAAGAGAACTTGTATAAAGCAACACTCAGGGGTAGACTCCACTTCTTAGATCAAAATATTCAAGGGCAGGCCCTGAAAGGATTTTGCACACTTTAAGAAACTCTTTTATCTAAAGTCTTCCTTTTCTTTAGTAAGCATTTTTGAGCCCTGACTCAAACCCAGGGATGATGTTAAGTACCAGATATGCAGGCAAAGCTGAGATACTTTCCCTGCCCTACTGAGACAGACTGTCCTGGAAAGAGAAAATTAAAATGTAATGCTATAAGTACTAATACAGTGATTTGTATGGTGTGTTAGAAACATTAAGGCCCAAGGTTGGCCTTTCTGACAGTGATGGGAAATTGAGTTTTAATGCTAAGCAGAAATTTTCCAGGGCATAAAGGGTGAGGACGGCAAAGGAGAAGAAGCAAGTGCCCGTTGGGGCAGAGAGACTGGCATATGCCAGAAGGATGCTTTACCTGAGGTTTCTGCTGGTCTGATCACCTGTGGGCCTCCATAAGAGTCTATCAGTTGGCATTTCTCAAGTGCATACGAAGGGTCACCAAAAGGCCACCCACAAGCCAGTTTAGTACAGGGACAGAATCTTTAGGTTCATGCTGAATTTAAGGAGTTTGGAATTTCGTATCAAAATTTGAATATCTTCTCTGGGCCTCAAGTCCAGATAGTCCTCAGTTTGCTGGCTGGCCCAGGGGATTCCCCATCTAGATGGCCCACATCCCCTCTAGTTTGCCTGTCTCGTTTCCTCTACCACCCGCAGGCTCGTGAAAGCATTGAATTTATCCTGGTTGGCTTGTCCTGCATGATGCCTGTGCATCTTTGTACATTAATTCCACCTAACTTCATAATGCAAGTTGCTATCCAGAAAGACCATGGGTATCTACATTCACTGTACACAGCACCCCTGACAATATCCCTGAGACAAAGAGATAAGTACCTCTAAGAGCCAGGGCATCCCACAGCATCCCTCAGCATGGTGGCATTGCTTCTGCTATGGGCCTCCTTGAGAAGCTCAGGGGAATGCCAACAGGTCTTCAGGCACTGATGACAGACAGATGGCGACTCAGCTCATCAGAGTTGCAAACTAATGGTCCACAGACTTGTTTTGCTTGACCCGCACAATGCTTTCCGAAATTTAGTGGAAACATCTAGATTTCTGGCTTCTACCTCTGCCATTAAGCAAACCTTGGCCTACACTGTTCCTCAGTTTCTATTGTATAAATCTCAGAAGTGCCCCTCTCTTTAATTACGAGGCATACGAGTTTACTAAGGTTTTCACTTTGCACTCCTGCTCTCCCTGCAGCCGCATTCTAACTGAAGCAGTCTGGTCTGCTCACGTCTGACTTACATCTTTTAGCATCCAATATTTTATTATTTCATTATTATATTCACCCTGTAACAAATAGCAAAGGGCACAAAAGAATGTGCATTCCTGTTC